GCGTGGTGCCCATCGTCGAAATCGACGGGGGAACTGTCATATGCAGGGATATGTTTTTTGATTTTTCGCATGGTGCATGATAACGTAGTGCGGTTTGGGGAAGTGTACTGGCGTTTCTTGTGTTCGTGGCCGTGTGGTTGAAGAAGTGATTTGTGTGTAACGTATTTCAGCCGTGCAATCGTCTGCAACTGCGGAGTGAGACAAGTGGGAAGTGTCTGGAAGACTAAATGTCCTAAGGCAAAGGGCGTAGTAATCGTTTGCAGCGTATGTCAGTGCTGTGTAAGTAAGCAATGTTTGTGGCAAGGCGGGATTGTAAATTGTGAACTGCATCCTAAGGTAATACCGATGTTGCACGTGTCTTGAGGTGGCGTAATTTGGGGAAGCAGCAGGTATGTATTAAAAGAGTATGTTTACGGCAGGAATCATGCAGTGGTTGTTTTGAAGGCAGTGACCTGTGTGTGTGGAAGAATGAGGCGTGGAAGTGCGTAATGTCGTCTATGATATTGTACTGCAACTTCCATCGTTGTGTCATATAATGGGTGCTCTCTAAATGTAAACCGGAGCGGATTTTGCAGGTGCTCGCTGGCGTAGTGGATGAAGTGAGCTGCTATGGTAATGACAGTTCGAAATTAACAATAGCCTCAGCAGAGGAAGCTTTCGTAAGTAAAAATGGTAGACTAGGATGTTAACCGGTAGCTAAATTGAACCAACCCGTCTATCACTTCTAACTCCCTGAGATAAGTCATGTGTATGCATCCCTTCTGCAAAGGACACCTTTCGTAACTGAGATTGATAGGCGAGGATGTTGACCGGTACCTATATTGAACCAACCCGTCTATCACTTCTAACTTCCTGAGCTAAGTCATGTGTATGCATCCCTCCTGCAACGGACACCTTTAGTAAATGAAAAATGATAGGCGAGGATGTTGACCGGTAGATATGTGTATGTATCCCTTCATCAACTGTTAGTGGAAAGGTAGGCGAGAATTTTCTAGCTGCTTTTCCAAGCCAGACAGGCTTCAAACGAGTAGGTGTACTGCATTGATTCAGCTCGAAAACGTCTAGAAAAAAACTATACCTACTAAAATTTATTGAGTAGGCGTGTAAATATAAATACGACTTTCGTGTGCTGCCAAGGGAATCGCTGCCGAATTATGAAAAGCAGTTGTCATTCTTGAAGGAAAAACTTACTCGGCGTAGATAGTCCTCAAAAAGGTACATCGCCTTGAGGGGCGCTCCGGCACATTTGATAGGAGGCTTTGGAAAAGTGAATACGGCGGTTCCGGTCTTGAAGTTTTCAAATGCCCTCAGGGTCTTGAGCATGTATTCGGGCGAATAGTTTGAGCAGACCCGAGGATCCTCCTTCAAGGCATCCAGTGCTCCGTTCAGCTATGACGATGGAGAAGGCATAAACAGGCAGGAGATGGAAAAAAAGCGGAGGAGAGGTTCAACAACCAATGACGAAACTGATATGATTACGGAATTCTCAGATATAAAATACTGATGGTGGTTGGGTTCTCACTTCAGAAGCATGCGAGACTTGAGCTCGCAACCTTTCCGACCAGAGTCTAATGCTCTTACCATTGAACCACGAGCTTGTTGTTTTACCGGTTTAAGTCGGGAGATATTAACACGGTAAACGTTCATCAAGGGGTGTCAATATCTCCCGACCCAAACTGGCAAAACAACGAGTTCGTGGCTCAATGGTTAGGGCGTCAGACTCTGATCAGAATGGTCGCAAGTTCGAGCCTGGGGTGGTGCAATACTTGGGGATGACTATGACTGGCAGACGACGGCTAATAAGCCACAAATGGCCATTCCAGTTTCCCTTGTCTTGGTCGGCAAGACTATCTGCCTAGGTTAATTATTGCCCCCCCCCAAAGGTACAATCTGTGGAGTAAATTAAAATCTCCACGTGTCAGAAGATAACATGCCTCAGGAGCAGTGGGGCAGGGAGGTTCAATTGTTGAAAACGGGCATGTACATTATATGACCAAAAATCACAAAACGTTCAAGGAGAAGCCTCGTAAATGCGACACGGATAGCACATTCTAGCACTATAAAGGACACGTCAGGACAATTTTGTCAGAAGGAAAATCCGATGTTATTAATCAAATAAATTTGCAGATTACTACGCAGGGCTCTGTACGCCGGCGCCAAATCGATACAACGACTGATTGGGTTCCCAAACATGGACCAGGCTTCAATAAATTCTCTACTCGTTTTGTTTACGGCGTGGGTGATTATCTTGACGACTGCGAAGTTGAACTGATAGCCCGTCACAGACTTTGCTGATCAGTGTACGCTTATCTACTAATGTGTACTTCCGGTCAACAACCGGCAAGACGTCAGATCCGTTAGCTCAATGGTTAGGTCGTTTGGCTCTGACAGGAGAGACGTGAGGTCGAAACTCGAGTGTGGCGGCAATTTCTGCTGCTACACTGGAGTAGGATATCTCCACCTGATGACGGCAAATAAGCCAGAAAAGGCTTTCCTGGAGTCTCTGTCTTACGGTATAATATCCTAAGTTTGCTTATTCATCTTCAGGGATAAGAGTAACAATTATAGGGGGGCAGGCCAAGCATTGTCAATGACACAAGTCTGCAGATGACTGCGCAGGGCCTTGCACGCCGGCGCCAAATCGATATATGGACTGAGTGGGTGCTCAGCTACGTACTAGACTTCAACCAACTTCCCACTCGTTCTGTTTACGCTGTGGTGTGCGATTAGCTTGACAGCTGCGAAATTGAATTCTTGGTCAATTTCGTAGGTGTGGCCTATTGATTGGACTGCACCCGGTATCATTATCGAATTTTTGTTTTTGCTATCTTTGAAGGTAGCTCAGAATAATAAAAAATGGTGTCAGTGCTTGACCATTCTCTTCCATTACTCAGGTACATATTCTTACGGCTTCAAGAAGACAACGAACTCCGAGGACAACGGAGCCTATTCGACCAGATGGATTCTGGTCGTCAGCTTAGTTGCTGTTCATCCCTATGTAGGCACAGACTGCGATTCACACAACAACCCTCAACGAGCTCTTGCTGCCAAAAAGTTAGGGTCGAAAGCACTTAAAAACTGACGAAAATATCATCATTCTTCCCGCAGACAAAGGAGGCTTAACTGACATCTTGAACAAATCAGACTACAAGCAGAAAATGCTGTCACTGTTAGGAAATAGCTCAACCTATAAGCCTCTTTCCAGAGACCCTATCGAAAACTTAATTCCTCAATTGAAAAAGAGTTGAAACGCCTTACAGAAACGAAACAACTTTCAAACGAAATTGCAAAAGCCCGAAGCAACCATCAACAAAATCTACGGATTGTCCATGGTTCATAAACCAGACGTTCCCCTGCGACCGATACTATTATTAATTACAAAAATGCCTAAGTGGCTATTTGGTCAACTCCATCCAGTTACGAGGGATTGTGAAACGAATCCTCGGAACTTCAAAGATTTTCTACAGAAATTGAGAGGAATCACAACCTCCGATGATGAAACAATGGTCTTCTTCGAAATTTTTTTGTTTGTAGCAAGACAATGCACAGAGCAAGTCCTAAAGACCTAGGATACAAGGGTTCCCGCAGCTACCTTCGTTCGGCCACCACAACAGTTAAATGGAGCTCCAATGGAATAAGACCGGGGATGAGGGAGGGTGTAGGTGGCTGGCGCGATAGTCACTCAACACGCGCAAACTTGAAACAGCCAACTCGCTAGGTAGACTCCCGCCTGCGCTGGAGCGCCATAAAGACCACATTAAGAAGGAGCCATTGCAGCCTGACTCTCAGTCTACCACCTCCACACATACGCACACACAAACACACGCGTAAAGGAGGAGCAGCAACGTAAGTGGGCCGAATTTTCTCGTGAGTTGGCAAACCCTCCAAGTCACGGCTTTTAGCGCACCGTGATATATTCAAGCGCATTCCGATTTAGTATAGTGAGGAGAGAAACGCGCTGAGGTCAACCTCACTCTCTCCTTCACCGTCTAGCGACCGCCTAGCTGCTCGGACACCTGAGATGGGGGGGATAACCACCACTAAATACGCAATTCTTATTTGCCCTAACGAACTAACAAGATATTCACATACACAGGTTGATTATAGACAGTTATATCGTAGAAAAGCGTGTAGCACTGCGTTTTCCCATGAAACCGCGTGGGGTCTCTGCCACTGGCAGTGTATCCCCGATAATGAAAATAAGAACGTTGAAAAGAAGAAGAAGAATCAAGTTTTCTCACGATATTAACAACCAAAAGTCGATAGAGAGTAGATGATTCCTAAAGTTTAGGAACGGGCTATTACTCAGAGGAGTGGCTTTAGCGTAACGTGTTATAAAGGGCTAATGAGCTTACCATATCATAGCGCAACTTGAGGCCTATACAGAGGACGAGGTAGTCATATGTTATCTGTAGGGAGATAAGGGGGAAAAAATGCCGTCAGTAAAGTTCAAATAAATGCTCGAGCTGCTCCAACCAAATAAAACAAAGCGCTGAAAAGTAAAAATGTAAGCAATTTTACTGACTAAAAATGTAACAACTTGAGAGAGGGAGAGAGAGTTATCAGTTTTATTTTGAAAATATCATTCGAAAATTTTCAGAAAAAAAACAACCTCCATTCGACATGAATAGTGATTAAGTATACTTGTTATACTACTCGTTTAATACGAGTAGTCATATTTTATTACTATTTCCACTCTACAAGCTTTTCCCTCTCCGCTTACAAGCATGTACTTTCAATATTATTTTTCATGTTTCTTTTTTATCTGTTAGGGGGGTCCAACACTCGCGCCGTCCTCGAGGCAGGATAACAAAGAGAGAACAC